AATGTCTTTATCCTTGAGATGTTTTAGTACCAAGTCCTGAGACTTCTGTAGCTTCAGATTTTAATAATTTTAGATTCCTAGATTCATTTTGGTTATTGTTCTAGTTAAGACTTGTATTGTGTATACTTGAGTTACAATCGGAATGCAAGATTAAATATTTGTGGCAATTTATCGCGTTCTTGAATTATCGAGGTGATAACCCGATAAACAAGATATAAATTGGATAAAATTTGTAACGAAAGGAGAAGTATTTTTGGTGGAAATATTGTGGACGGGTGGTGGTTATTTGCGTAATAGGGTTCGCATAAAATTGTTGTAAAAGTTACTCGATGAACTCCTGAAATATCTTGTAGGTAGGTAACAGTGCGAGTTCCGGAATGTCGGCCGCTCGATAGATGCAGGTAACCAGCGATGAACGCGATAAAATTAATTAGGTATACGGTAATAGAGAGTTCCATAAGATACCCTTGAGTCTGTCAAAGAGGAGACGAACGGAGATGAGTTTAAAGGAGGCACGCTCTACTGGATCTTGTTTCGATGCTGCTGCACATCGCAGCTGCGATCTAATCGCACGTGCAATTTTCGAATAATTTGACACATTTTTACAACGCTATGCTTCTGGGTTATAAATTTACCTTTTTGTGGCTCGAGCTAACCCTTTGGACTGGAAGGGTCACATTTGGTTTATTATAATCGCAGTTTAAATTGGCGTTTCTTAGCTAATTCAATGACACGTGGTGACTCAGTTACTTTGTTGCAAAAGCAATTTACAATAGAACAATTAGAAACAGCCTTAGCTAAATCCATGGTCAGGTGACTCACAATCTTTAGTTTGTTGCAATTTTTCAATGCAATTATTTGAAACAGGTGTTCGTTAGCTGGAATCGTGATGATCGTACATCATATGTGTACAGGTAATCTATAATACACGTGATATATCTTACACACATATGAGTTATGTTCATGTGATCATATATCATACATATGATCTATATTCATATGATCACATATCATACATATAATCTATATTCATATGATCACATATCATACATATAATCTATATTCATATGATCATATATCATACATGCACATAATCTATATTCATATGATTATGCATCATACATGCATATAATCTAAATACATATGATCACATGTCATACATATAGTCTACAATATGTGATCATATATCATACATACATATAATGTATATTGACATGATCATATATCATGTGCAGATACAATGTATACTCATATGATCATATGTCATATGTACACATAATGTCTATTCATATGATCGTACATCATATGTACACATAATGTATATTCATATGATCATACATCATGTATGTACATAATGTATATTCATATGCTCATACATCATGTATGTACATAATATCTATTCATATGAAGATACATCATATATACACATAATGTATGTTCATATGATCATACACCATATATGCACATAATGTATATTCATACAATCATACACCATATATGTACACACTGTATACTCATATGTACCAAATACATGTAAAGTATAAAACAGTGAAACAGTAACAGTATCAACTAAAATGTCTGCCAAAAATAAGAATCGCGAGCGCAAAGGGCCAACACCATAGAAACCTACTTGCTGGTCACGTGATGACCGCTTAACCCGAGAGTATTTTAATCGGGCCGATCGTTTGTCTGTCTGGTCGCACCTAGCCGACTTAGAAATACGCGTGCTAAGAGAACAACTCGACCAAAAATAATGGCCGACCAACTTTGTAACCTAGACTGGCCTCGGACCCGCACACCATGCTTTTCTTAGAACCGTTGTCTGCCCGCGATCGGGCAATAGCTTTCTGGGCACGTGCCCGGACAATAGACGCGTCCATTGTTCCTCGAGTCTGTCTTAATCTTCTTTAATCGCGAATTATGTAAAATTAGTCGATAAACAATTCGGTTTTGCGTCATTATGAGGACGGGTAAACAAGCTTGTTAAATGTCGAATCGATGAACGAAGTGACGTTCAACAGGGAAAAATATATTCACTTATTACACGTACGCTTATGTAAGGCGTATACGGTAAGGATCACGGTACCGTATCGCTCAGTTACGAAAGGCATATTTCCCTCGAACTGCAAACTTTCCTACAAAAAGTTCGATCTCTTCACGGAGTTGTTCGCGGCAGAAATATCGGTTTTATTTGGCAAAAAAAATGGAGCAATTATTTTGGAAGAACGGTGGCGAACAACGGCTCGCGATTGTTGCTGCCCGCATAAATTCTCCACACGCTGTGTTACGCGTTTAATTTTAACTGTTGCACGAGCGCCCAACATCGAGCGATCTTATTCACGTCTTTGTCCGTTCCTTTCATACTTCCGTGCACTTCAAAGAAACGTATTTTTGAGCCCGTTCCGTTTGAATATCAACCAGCAGAATAAATACCATCCACCGTCATTCCCAGACGGCTATAGAGACCGTATCGTCACCGCGGTACAATTTTACAATCGTGACTCTCCGTGGTGAAATATAATCAAGTGTTTCGTCTCGTCAGCTCGATTCTTCTCGACTATACGCTCATACCAAAATATCTCCTAGTTCGATCGTTTGATTCAACTTTTGGTTGCATTCTATTAATTCTTTGCGATGACGGTGGCGTCAAAAATTTGCTGTTCATTTCATGTAGGATCTAGGGATACTTTACATCCTACATTTTGGCCACATTTTTACTTTGTATCCAGGAATGTTTTACTTAACTATGGATTTATGGCATCCGAGGATACTTTGCGGAATTTAGGGATATTTAGATAGGATGGTATATTGGAATAAGCTGGTGATAGAGATCTGGGGATCTGGGTATAAAAAGATTCGCGTTGTAGAAATTTAGGGATATGTGCGTAAAGATAAGGGGATTTCATACTTCTTGATGTAATTTATTGTACACGAGTATGACATGTATTATCAATACCAATATGACATAGTCTAGACCCAAGTGTTTGTGTATATGTTTCATACACACAACGTATGTGCATCTGTTTCTCTATATGGCCCTATAGGGACTAAAATGAACAAATACCACAATGTGCAAGAAATCAAGATTTGCGAGTTTAAAACTTGAAGATACAAGTTCAAAGAAGAATCCGATTATTGGCGGTGAACATGTGGCGCAATAAAACGGTAAAATAAACAGGTATTACAATGTTAGAGATAACCGGGATATCGGTTTCGTTAATTCGTGCGAAACAATAGTAACGGGCAAGATTAACGCGACGTTCTCGCGGTATCAGCAATTTGATTGATTAACGGCTCAATTCCGCCATAAGCGCGGCCATTACAGCACGAAATCGGGAACGGTGCGCATTCAAATCGAGCCATCAATTATTCAAGCCTCTTTTCAACGACAGATACTCGTTCTCGTTGCGCGAGCGATAAGGAACCAATTTCGCGTCGAGTCGAAACAATTCGCTAATTCGAATCGCAAATTGAGTGACCGGTTTCCGTCGTTCCCGACGATTGATATTATTATCCGTGAATCGAATCGTTTAATTATTACTGGCTCCTAAAAATAATCCACGACCCGATTCCCCGGACGGGGAACATTCGGATCGATCGATTCGTGCACGCCACGTTTTCGGTTTTCCGGAAGTCATCGCCGTCGACCGGAAGCTAACCTTATTCGCGAGCACAGCGCCACGAACCGGCAGAACACCGCGGAAAAAGTGAGAGTATACGAGACTACCTTGAGCCTGATCCTACACACGTGTGTCCAGTGGGCGTAGACATTTATTTTCTATATATGGTGAACAATCGATTGGTCGTTGCTTACGGATGCAACGCTTGTAGCACGTGCACCTTGTTAGTGCAATCACGCTTTCCAATTGTTTTCAACGGCTTCGTTCACATTCTTACTCGTTCATGTTTTCTACTTCCAATACAAATATTTGTTTACTTCAAATACTTTCGGTACATATAGGGTGCTGCATCCCTTACACACCATTAACCACCTTTCGGTACTTTTTCTATGAAGGCTCTTTTTAAGAAAGTTATATTCTTTCATAAATTCCTGGTTTGGTTTGCCTTTGCATGTTTGTACAGTGAGTGAATAGGGTTTATAGTACTTTCATTTACTTTCGAATACTTTCAATATTTATTTGCTTCCGTATTTCCATGTACGTATTTTATCTGTACAGGATGTTCTTTAATGGTAAAACTCTGTATAAGTATTGGTACTTGATATACCTTACCTTAACCCCTGAGTCTCATGCACTCTAGGTTCAACTATCATAAATCTCACTCGAATTTTTACTACTTTCCACTCTGAAGTTTAAGACCCATTTGTATGGTCAAGGATCGCTGAACATATTGACGTAATATTTTAGATTTCATTATATATTTTAATATAGTAGCATGCATATTTAGTGCTGACGCACATGATACGTAAATCGAGCAAACTCATTGCTTTTAAGTATGTTACAATTTCTATCAAATTCTACGAAGATTTTTCTCTTTGGTTACTTTCTGGGATCATGAAAGTATTTTGCACAAGGTAGATTTATATAAAAATGTATATACAAGTTGCATATTATTACAAAACTACATATGTATAAGTTCACATCTCATCATAAAGTTACATACAAGTTCACATATCATCTTAAAGTTACATACAAGTTCACATATCATTGATAAAGTAGAACTTGCGTTTGAATAATGAAGAGGCAAGATCCACTGGTAAAAACTGAAATTTATAAAAAATGATAAAAGTGTTGTAATCGATGAATATAAATTATTTTATTCTAATGAGTGAATGTCAGAAATTATTTTATCAGTGAACGACATACAATTATTTTGTCAATGAATGATATAAATTATTTTATTCTAATGAGTGAGCGTCAGAAATTATTTTACCAGTAAACGACATAAATTATTTTGTCAGTGAACAATATAAATTATTTTATCATAAGAATAGTAGAAGTTAGGTGAAGGTGATAAGTGAAAGATGAAATATGTTTCAGCGACACGAGATGCATCGTAGAGTGGGGTACAGCAACTACGATGGCAAGATCGCCGGGCTGTACGACCTGGAGGAGACTCTCGGCCGCGGTCATTTCGCCGTCGTGAAGCTCGCACGACACGTTTTCACCGGCGAGAAGGTTGCAGTGAAGGTCATCGACAAGAGTAAACTCGACGAGGTCTCGAGAGCGCACCTCTTTCAGGAGGTGAGCGAAGAGAAAAGCGCGTTAGACGCGTTCTTTCATTCGCGAGAACCAGCCGACGATGCGACGTGGGGTCGTCTCGTCGATACAAGCCGTCGGAGACGACCGCGTATCCTTCTTCCCTTTGTTCCTGTTCCCCCTCGTGTGTCGCGTCAATGAGAACGACCAGCACAAAGCGGACCGAGAAGGAAATGGAAACGCGTGCTAATCTCTTCCTTCCTTCCGTTTGCTCGCTCAATAACCGTGCATCCCTTCGTTGCTTGGAAAAAGATCTCCCTAATGGAAATGGTACCAAATTATTTTTATGTCAATCGCTTTACGACTCTCTTCTACTGTTTAATCATTTTGACCGTTTTATAAGGTCAACGCGATAAATTGTTGCAAGGTAGATATCAATGTTGGGGTAGAATACTGTTGACTCTCGTTATATTGCCGTCGATGGAGTTCGAAGTATAGGCGTCGATTATATCATTTTTATGTGATCTACACTTCTGGAGATAGAAGGAGTAGTGATAGGACCGCGCGGTAATATAACGCGAGGTGATGGGAACGCGTGGTGATATAACGCGTGGCGATACAACGTGTAACAGTAGGGGCGCGTAGCGACACAACGCGTAGCGATAGGAATGCGTGGGGATACGACACGTAGCGATAGGGACGCGTGGTAATATAACGCGTGGTGGTATAACGCGTGGTGATACAACGCGTAGAGATAGGGGCGCGTGGCGATACAACGCGTGGTGATACCACACGTAGCGATAAGGACGCGTGGTAATGTAACGCGTTGTAATATGGGTGCGTGGTAATATAACGCGTAGAGTTAGGGGCGCGTGGCGATACAACGCGTGGTGATACCACACGTAGCGATAAGGACGCGTGGTAATGTAACGCGTTGTAATATGGGTGCGTGGTAATATAACGCGTAGAGTTAGGGGCGCGTGGCGATACAACGCGTGGTGATACCACACGTAGCGATAAGGACGCGTGGTAATATGGGCGCGTGGTAATGTAACGCGTGGTAATATGAGCGCGTGGTAATATGGGCGCGTGGTAATATGGGCGCGTGGTAATATAACGCGTGGTAATATGGGCGCATGGTAATATAACGCGTGGTAATATGGGCGCATGGTAATATAACGCGTGGTAATATGGGCGCATGGTAATATAACGCGTGGTAATATGGGCGCATGGTAATATAACGCGTGGTAATATGGGCGCATGGTAATATAACGCGTGGTAATATGGGCGCATGGTAATATAACGCGTGGTAATATGGGCGCATGGTAATATAACGCGTGGTAATATGGGCGCATGGTAATATAACGCGTGGTAATATGGGCGCATGGTAATATAACGCGTGGTAATATGGGCGCATGGTAATATAACGCGTGGTAATATGGGCGCATGGTAATATAACGCGTGGTAATATGGGCGCATGGTAATATAACGCGTGGTAATATGGGCGCATGGTAATATAACGCGTGGTAATATGGGCGCATGGTAATATAACGCGTGGTAATATGGGCGCATGGTAATATAACGCGTGGTAATATGGGCGCATGGTAATATAACGCGTGGTAATATGGGCGCATGGTAATATAACGCGTGGTAATATGGGCGCATGGTAATATAACGCGTGGTAATATGGGCGCATGGTAATATAACGCGTGGTAATATGGGCGCATGGTAATATAACGCGTGGTAATATGGCGCGTGGTAATATGGGCGCGTGGTAATATGGGCGCGTGGTAATATAATGCGTGGTAATATGGGCGCGTGGTAATATAACGCGTGGTAATATGGGCGCATGGTAATATAACGCGTGGTAATATGGGCGCATGGTAATATAACGCGTGGTAATGTGGGCGCGTGGTAATATAACGCGTGGTAATATAACGCGCGCATGGTAATATAACGCGTGGTAATATGGGCGCATGGTAATATAACGCGTGGTAATATGGGCGCATGGTAATATAACGCGTGGTAATATGGGCGCATGGTAATATAACGCGTGGCGATAGAGCGCGTAGCGATAGGAATGCGTAGAGATCCCCAAACGCAGGTAATTATCAAGCAACTACCTTCATTTACCCCGTTACAAAAATTCCAAAATCCTACCTTGTCTATTTCCTCACACTCTCTAAACGCGATCGTATAAATTTTCTAACGACATTCATATTGCAAATATTCCACGAGCCAACGAACTCGCGTTCATTAGAATAGCACGATCGAGAAAATAGTTGGATAATTTTCATTATTCAAAGCCGCTTCCCACGTGCGCGATTTCCATCGTTCCGCGACATTCGGGCGTTAAATATTAACGAGATTTCATAAGATCCGCTCGCGCACACGACATCGCGTAGGAAAGATCTACGATCCGCTTCGAACTTGTAGATCTCGTTAAGGTCAACGAGATAATGGCACGGGAGGAAAGGAGCAAAAAGGTCGTTGACCAAGCAACGTTTATAGTAGACTCGCCAAGCATCGAACGTTGCTTTTATCCTCTTTGTGTTCTGTTCGCAGGTGAGATGCATGAAGCTGGTGCAACATCCGAACGTGGTCAGGCTTTACGAGGTGATCGACACGCAGACGAAGCTTTACCTGATCCTGGAGCTTGGCGATGGCGGTGACCTCTACGATTACATCATGAGGCACGATAGCGGCCTCAGTGAAGAGGTACATACGATGTACTGGCTGTTTCAAAGCTGCTTCACATAGTTTTCGTTATGTGGATCGTGTTTTCATTTTGTGGATCATTTCAAATAGAAAAGGTTATTTAAGTAGATAGGGTGGGTAGGTTAAATAGGTACTCTAGGTGGGTAGGTTAGGTTAGTTAAGTTAACCTAGGTGGGTAGGTTAAATACTCTAGGTGGGTAGATTAGGTTAGCTAAGTTAATCTAGGTGGGTAGTTTAAATAGATACTTTAGGTGGTAAATAGGTAAATTAGGTATTTACCTAAATTAGATACATTAAATTAGATAAATTAGATTAGATAGATGGATTAGATGGCCAGGTAGGTTTGGTAGATAGGTTAGATAGGTAGGTAGATTGGATAGACAGATGTATAGGTAAAATAGATGGACAAGTGGATTAAATAGGCAGGTACCTAACTTAAGCTACTTATGTTGAATAGATAGATCAGGTGGGTACATTAGATAGGTAAGTAAGATTGATACATGGATTACATAGACATGCAGACAGGTTATGTACCTACTTAACTTTGCCACCTTAAGTTAAGTATACAAATCAGATGGATAGGTCAGACAGATATGTTACATATGAATAGCTACATCAAATACTACTATACAGATCATATTTACATCACAGGTACATACAGTAGCAACACAAATAATATATAACACATATTCATTATTCAAAAATTTGTCTCCAGCACAAAACAAAATTGTCCCTAATGTAACTGATTAATAATCCTCTAATTAGTTTATCGAATCAATATTCTCACAGAGCGTCCTTCAATCGTATAATATTCTCATTCACGCTCTTTTAGCGCTCCATTGCTAAATGTATCATTAGCTCCATTATCAATTGTAACATCGATCAGAAACATTAGTCACTTAACTGGAAAGATTACTTCATTATTCGCTGAACGAACGAAAGTTGAATCACTCACTAATAAATCATTATTACGCATTCCGCATACTATTATAGTTTCCAAGTAGAGTGCAATTACGAGAATTCTTCCGATAGCTCTATATAATTGATTACCTGTGTACAATCCATTGCAAAAGGTGCTAACAGACAATATTTAGGCCTCATTTTCTGTACTATTTTTGTAAATATGTAACTTATTATAATCATCTTTTTTCTATTTTTTCTTTCAATATAGCGATGTCTCGCTATATGGCCTTGGATATAGAAGCAGGGAAATTATAGAAGCTGTCAATGATACTTTATGTAATTTTTGATTACACTGACGTTAGCTAAGACGTAAAATTTAAAAATTTGATAAATTTCTGAATCCTTGAACTTGAAAATTTAAGTTTGTAGATCTGAACTTTTTCTGTAATGTAAAATTGCTAGAATATGAACTTGTAAATCTATAAATTTGCTAAAACACAAACTTGTAAATCTATAAATTTGCAAATCCGTAAATTTGTGAATTTATGCACTCATAAATTTCTAAATCCATAAATTTGTGGATTCAAAAATTCACAACCCTAAAAATTTGTAAATTTGAAGATTCACAACCCTAAAAATTTGTAAATTTGAAAATTCACACCCCTAAAAATTTGTCAATTTGAAAATTCACAACCCTAAAAATTTGTCAACTTGAAAATTCACAGCCCTAAAAATGTGTAAATTTGAAAATTCGCATAAATCTGTAACAGTGAAACATTATAAAAGAAAACTTGCGGAATATGGTTTATCCGTATCAGAGGTTCGATCAGAAGGTTAATCGCGATTAAATGGAAGTTCAAGGATAAGCGTCTCTTTGTCCGAGGTTCACTGATAGGCTTTTGATCGATCGCAGGTGGCCAGAACGTACTTCCGGCAAATAGTCAGAGCCATATCGTATTGCCATCGATTGCACGTGGTGCACAGGGACCTGAAACCGGAGAATGTGGTGTTCTTCGAGAAACTTGGCACCGTGAAGCTCACCGACTTTGGATTTAGCAATAGGTTCTGCCCGGGTCAGAAGCTCGAGACTTCCTGCGGCTCTCTCGCGTACTCTGCTCCGGAAATCCTGCTCGGCGATAGTTACGATGCTCCTGCTGTCGGTAAGTACGATTACGGGGAGTGCTTGTTTGTTTTCTCATCGATTTTACCCGATTAAACCTCGTATCCTTCTCTCAATTCCTTTCTCATCCGCCAACAATCAATATCGCATTTATGCATTTGTCACTGTCTTCTTTCCAATCGGTTTTCCTTTTTCTGCCTTTCAATTCCTTCACTTTTTAACCAATTTTTAACATCAAGCCTGCTGAATAATGCTAGTAAATTTGAATGATTTTGGTACTTTTTAAGAAAGAATTCCTGAGAAAGATTTTTAGTATTTACAAACGAGGTCATTATGTTGTTAACAAAGATATTCAAAACAAAGCAAACGTACTTCTGTCGTGGGTCGTTGGTGATATCGTTGCTGGGGAAGTGGCCTTGAGTGGTCAATTGATTTGAACAGGGTATACTATATCGTCGTATTGGAACGTTTGAAGCTCCGAGTATCTTATTGAGCAATAGAGTTATTGCGATAAAGCCCTCCAATTATCGTGGATGGCGTATAAAGGATAGAAACCTGTCTGTCGGCATCCTTATATCTGCAAAATCAGAACCTTGAATATTCAACCTGATTCTAGTCGTTAGTTAATCGACAGAAAATAAATAGCCTGATTTAGATTGCAATAAAAATACTTCGTGTTATGCTTATTTATGTAACAATCCTATTTACGACCGCTCCCTTTTTTCTTTTTATATCAGGATCGAAGCGATCCAACAATAAGTTAATTCGAGTAATTCTCCCTTGTTCGTATTTGCAGATGTTTGGTCGCTAGGGGTAATTTTGTACATGCTGGTATGCGGTCAAGCACCTTTCCAAGAGGCGAACGACAGCGAGACCCTCACAATGATCATGGATTGCAAATATTCCATTCCTCCGCACGTTTCCGAGGGCTGTACGCGATTAATCGCCAAAATGCTTGTCAGAGAACCGGAAGGCAGAGCGACTCTCGAGGAGATAGCCGCCGATCCTTGGCTGGCGATCGGATCCGATTCGGATTCCGTGGAAACTTTGCCCCTCGTCTCCAGGCAACAGGTCTCCGACGATCATCATAACCATATCATAACCAAAATGGTTAACGGTAACATCGCCACCAAAGAAGAAATATTGGAGTAAGTAGACGCTGAAGATCGATTTTAACCCTTTTGGTATCGGTCGAGTAGCGTGGATAATTTAATAACGAAATTGGATTCTTTGAATTAAACGTATACCTAGCCAGAAGGGTTAATCTTTAGCCAACTGACCGAGATTCATTCGTAACACACGTGTTCAATCTGATCATAGCGCCCTCGACAAGAATGAATACAATCACATAACGGCGACGTATTTCTTGCTAGCGGAAAGGAAACTGCGGGCTCATCGTCAAGAGCAGGTGCAGAAAACTCGACCGGAGATCCTTGAGGTTTCGCCTAGGTATGCGTCACGTCGATACGAGACTCGTCCGATCCGAATGTACATCGATCTATATACGCGAAACTATTCGGTTATTTTCAGCCGGCAGGATGACGCGGCAACGAACTTGCGTACCGACCAAAATTCATTGAGCACGGTGAACCAATCGCTGCTGAGCGTGCCACGAACGCCCGGTGATGTGCCACAAGTACGTATTGCATGATCTTATCGACGACATTCGTCATTTAATAACCGCGCACGGCTCGTTCGCGATTTAACGATTCTGTTTTATGATCACGGAAGGTGTCTGTTCTCGTTGCAGAACGTGCGCACGCGGAAGTGCAGCATCGTCCAAGAGGAGGAGGACGAGGACGACGTCTCCTCGTGTTCGGGTCGGGACGAACGCGGCAGCAATTCCGCGTTGAACTCCTTCAATCGACGAGGTTCCCGTTCGGAGGGCAAGCTCTCGCATATCCTGCAGGAGCGGCTGTCGCAGCTGCCGGAGAAGCCGAGCCACAAGCCCCCGTCTCAGCGGAACTCGCAAAAGGACATCAACGCCGTTCCTGTTCTGGCCGACGGGAAGGAGAGACTTAAGTCTAGTCCAAAGAGCGCGCACAGCAACGAGTCCTCGTCGCCTGTCCACGCGAAGACGTCGGGCAGAACCCAAGCGAGCAATCAGCTCGTGGACCAAGTACCTGCAGTAACGAAGTTCGATTCCACTACTCAGGAGAACCTGAAGAATCGGCTGGACGATGGCTCTCCTAGCTGGGCTAGGATGGGCAGCAGTACGGAGAACAGGCCGAAGTCGGTGTCCGAGTGCCTGAAGTCGGTGGGACCTGTACCGGCGAACAAGTGGAGGATGGGAGCGCAGCATCGTTCCGCTGCCTCGTCCTTGGACTCTTCGGCAACGATAGGTTCGCCGAAGTCGTCCGATCCTAGTACGACGACCACGACTACTACCATTTTAACGGAGTCGTCCACGGTGTCGATTCCGCTTCGACCTTTGGGCGCGTTCGGCGATAATATGGCTCCGTTAACGCCTAAATACAAAACCATGCCGTCACCAGGAAGCACGGGCTCGACGTCGACACCGCTGAACGAGATCCTGGAGGACGGAGACGCGTTACCGGTGCCCAACAGCGACAACGGTAGCTCCAAGTGTCGCGTAGTCAGGAGGACAGGGTACGAGCAGAGGAGGAGCAAGTTCCACAAGACGCGCACAACCTCTTGTTCCAGCTCGGACGCAAGCGACGACGACAGCGAGAGTAGGAAGAAGAGGGCACACAAGTTCGGCGCGTCTACGGGTAAACCTATGCCTTCCAGACGCGACAGTCACGACGATTCCAGTGATTCGCAAGATCCTGGCGGAAACGCCGGTGGCGGGGAAG